GGAGATCAAGACCATCCTGGCTAACATGGTGAAACCCCATCTCTAGGGTATGGTGGTGGGCACCTGTAGTCCCAGCTACTCAGGAGGCTGAAGCAGGAGAATGGCGTGAACCCGGGAGGCAGAGCTTGCAGTGAGCCGAGATTGCGCCACTGCACTCCAGCCTGGGCGACAGAGTGAGACTCCGTCTCAAAAAAATAAATAAATAAAATAATAACAATAATAATAAATGTCTCCATTCTCAAGAAAGAAAACAATCTGAGAGAAAAAAAAAAAAGGATGGGAGATGGTAGACCATCATAGATAAAAGCACAGCTTCTGGAATCTGGTGGACCTGTGCTTCACTTTATATTGACTATTACCTTGAAACAGACACTTAACTTCTCTAAGCCTTTGTTTACTCACTGGTAAAATGTGAAAAATACAGACTATAAGGAGGTTTGACAAGGATTAAGACAATATTTGCAAAGTACCTGGCACACAGCAGCCATCTAATAATCAGGAAGTTTTTTTTGTTTTGTTTTGTTTTGTTTTATGGTTGTTGTTTTTGAGACGAGTCTTGCTCTTGTCGCCCAGGCTGGAGTGCAATATCTTGGCTCCCAGGTAACCTCCGCCTTCCAGGTTCAAGTCATTCTCCTGCCTCAGCCTCCCGAGTAGCTGGGACTACAGGCATGTGCCACCACACCTGGCTAATTTTTGTATTTTTAGTAGAGACAGGGTATCACTATGTTGGCCAGGTTGGTCTCGAACTCCTGACCTCATGCTCTGCCCGCCTCGACCTTCCAAAGTGCTGGGATTACAGGAGTGAGCCACCGCACTTGGCCTTAAATTTAGTTTCACAAGGAAAAAAGGGACCCATGATAGTCCAGGGTTCTCAGCCTCAGCTATACATGTGAATCCCCCGGAGAGCTTTAGAAAAGGAAGGCTGCCTAGACTGCACTTCAGATGAACTGAATCAGAAGCTCTGGGGTCGGGACTGGATATCAATAGTTTTAAAAGTTCTTCAGGGAATTACAATGTGCACTTGGAAGTAAGAACCACAATAGCAAGCCAGAAAAGATGTCTCTATTATTACCATCCAAAATAAATTTTTTTAAATTAACATCTACAAAATCCTTACAAAATAAACCCAAATCAGAATTTCTACTTTCTCAAATCAGAATTACTACTATCTCATGGTGAAATGGAAGCTAACAGAGTTTGAACAATTTGTTTCTGGAAGAAACAGGGAGACAAGTTTAAAACTCTTGTCAAGCCCTAAAGCTGACAACTCTTATTCGGACGCATTTCTAACTACCACTATTTCCTCAGCATGACTACAAATCCAGTCATGATCCTCTCTTCAATAAAATCCTTTAATGCACCTACCCCTTCAGAACCAAGTCCAGACTCTTCAACGGGAACACAATCCTTCAGAACCCAGCCCCACGTGGTGTATGGTGAGCATGAGTCACACACGTTCAGCCTGCCCTGGCTCTCGTCTAAACAGTTCAACCACCAACCACCCAAGCAGACGCTGCTCAGCCTCAGTGGCTAACATGCCGAAGCTACGGTGTTAATATTATGGAATGCAAGGTGAACGGCAGCCCCAGGAACTGTGCAACATGACAAGACTACTGGCCCTGCTTTTCATTCTAGCCTCATCTGTCTCTGATTCTACTTTATTTCCACATACTCATCATCCCCTCTCTTTTTTTTTTTTTTGAGATGGAGTCTCACTCTATCGCCCAGGCTGGAGTGCTACGGCACGATCTTGACTCACACTCCAACCTCCACCTCCCAGGTTCAAGCGATTCTCCTGCCTCAGCCTCCTGAGTAGCTGGGATTACAGAAGCACGCCACCACGCCTGGCTAAATTTTGTATTTTTAGTAGAGACGGGATTTCCCCATGTTGGCCAGGGTAGTCTCGATCTCCTGACCTCGTGAAACACCCGCCTCGGCCTCCCAAAGTGCTGGGATTACAGGCATGAGCCACCGCGCCCAGCCTCATCATTCCCCCTCTTAACCTTAGGACCTTACATATGCTTTTTTCTCTCTGCATGGGACGCTGGTTCCTTACTCTACAGACCGCAACCTAAAGGCACTTCCTGGAAGAAGCCTTCCCCACCAGCAGGAGCAGCACTACTGCCCCGCCTCAGGTTGGAAGCCTGCTGTGTCCTCCCACAGTGCCCCAGAGTTCCCCCATCAGCATTCTCAGGGCTACGGAGTACAAGGACCATGTTATCCTGCTCACTAATCCCCAGGGCCTGGCACCTAGAAAGTGGTTAATGTATGTGGAATGAAGAACAGCCCAGAAGGAACACAGAGAAGCAGCTGGAACTGATCCACAACAAAAGGTGATTCTCCTAACTCAGGTCTCACGTTCCACCCCCTCTAAAGTGAGCTCACTGGGCACGGTGGCTCATACCTGTAACCTCACCACTTTGGGAGGCCGGGGTGGGCGAATCACCTGAGGTCAAGAGATGGAGACCATCCTAGCCAACATGGTGAAACCCTGTCTCTACTAAAAATACAAAAATTAGGGCTGGGCACGGTGGCTCAAGCCTGTAATCCCAGCAGTTTGGGAGGCTGAGACGGGCAGATCACAAGGTCAGGAGATCGAGACCATCCCGGCTAACATGGCAAAACCCCGTTTCTACTAAAAAATACAAAAAAAATTAGCCGGGTGAGGTGGTGGGCGCCTGTAGTCCTGGCTATTCGGGAGGCTGAGGCAGGAGAATGGCGTGAACCCGGGAGGCGGAGCTTGCACACTGCACTCCAGCCTGGGCGACAGAGCGAGACTCCGTCTCAAAAAAAAACAAAAATTAGCTGGGCATGGTGGCATGTGCCTATAGTCCTAGTTACTCGGGAGGCCTGAGGCAGGAGAATGGCTTGAATCCGGGAGGTGGAGGTTGCAGTGAGCCGAGATTGCGCCACTGCACTTCAGCCTGGAGACGAGCAAGACTCCATCTCAAAAACTAAATATAAATAAAAAATAAAGTGAGCTATGTGGGAAATGTTAACAACTGTTGAATCACAGATACAATGATCATTCTCTATCCTTCTAATTTTTTTGTTTGTTTTGGTGACAATCTCGCTCTGTCACCCAGGCTGGAGTGCAGTGGTGCGATCTCAGCTCACTGCAACCTCCGCCTCCTGGATTCAAGCCATTCTCCTGACTCAGCATCCCGAGTAGCTGGGATTACCGGCTGGAGTGCAATGGCGTGCTCTCAGCTCACTGCAACCTCCACCTCCCAGGTTCAAGTGACTCTCCCACCACAGCCTCCCAAGTAGCTGGGATTACAGGTTAATACTAACAAAATACTAATACTAATACTAACAAAAATACTAAATTTTGTATTTTTAGTGGAGACAGGGTTTCACAGTGTTGGCCAGGCTGGTCTCGAACTCCTAACCTCAAGTAATCTGCCCACCTCGGCCTCCCAAAGTGCTGGGATTACAGGTTAATACTAACAAAATACTAATACTAATACTAACAAAAATACTAAATTTTGTATTTTTAGTGGAGACAGGGTTTCACAGTGTTGGCCAGGCTGGTCTCGAACTCCTAACCTCAAGTAATCTGCCCACCTCGGCCTCCCAAAGTGCTGGGATTACAGGCGTGAGCCACCATGCCCAGCTTTCTAATGTTCCTTAAGTTTGAAATTTTTCATAATAAACCTTTGGGGGGAAAAATAATGTGACCTTTGCCTCTATTTCTAATCCTGCTTTCCTCGCTAGGTATTACTTAGCTAAAGGATACCCAGCAACAACCTGTCATAATTTCCCACCATCTGATGGCAGTGCCATAGGACACAGAAAGAGTACAAACCCACTGTCAATATAAGAAAGCAATAGCCAGGCATGGTGGCTCATGCCTGTAATCCTAGCACTTTGGGAGGCCGAGGAGGGCAGATCACGAGGTCAGGGGTTTGAGACCAGCCTGACCAACAAGGTGAAACCCCGTCTCTACTAAAAACACAAAAATTAGCCAGGTGTGGTGGCACACATCTGTAGTCCCAGCTACTCAGGAGGCTGATGGGGAAGAATGGTTTGAACCTGGGAGGCGGAGCTTGCAGTGAGCCGAGATCACGCCACTGCCCTCCAGCCTGGGCGACAGAGCAAGACTCCATCTCAAAAAAAAATTAAAAAAAAAAAAAAAAAGCAAGCACCAAAAAACTCTTAGGGTCAGGTAACAAAAAGGCTTGCCAACAGCCAGATACTAGGTTCCAATAAAATGCTGGGCTTTCATCAATTTCCTTCCCTTATAGCCTTTTCTTCTTTCTTTCTTTTCTTTCTTTCCTTTTTTTTTTGAGACAGTCTCACTCTGCTGCCCAGGGAGGTAGTGCAGTGGTGTGCAGTGGTCTGATTCTCCTGCCTCAGCCTCCCAAGTAGTTGAGATTACAGGCACCCGCCACCACACCCGTCTAATTTTTGTATATTTCGTAGAGACGGGGTTTCACCATGTTGGCAAAGCTGGTCTCAAACTCCTGACCTCAGGTGATCCGCCAGCCTCGGCCTCCCAAAGTGCTGGGCTTACAGGTATGAGCCACTGCTCCTGGTCAATTATAGCCTTTTCTATAGGCAGGAGAACTGTTCTTTAGGTCTGAGATGAGGAAGAAGAAAAAGATGCTGAAAAGTGTGTGCAAGTTGCAGAAGAGAGCACAGCACTGATGGATTAAAAGTCACGGGAGGCTGAGTTACATAAATTCGGCTTGCTCTGGAGCAGCCAAATCACCAACCAACCAAACATGCTCAATTTCAGTGGCTATCTAATAGGCAAAAGAGAGAACATGATTAACACTAAAGAAAAAGCCCTTGTTCAAGACAGCTATTCCCAAAGGACTGTGCACTCCTAAACAGTTCCTCTAGAAAAAACACTGACAAGGACATTAACTTTCGAAGTTCAACAGATGAAGAACCCCTCAACTTTCTATCCCCTTTGTTCCCTCCTGTACAACATTCCTGAGGCAAAGAACTGTGATGTCAGTGCAGCTGATCTAGGCTCTGACACTTGCCATTACCTCTTGCTGCTTCTCCTCATTGGGGTAGGTGTCTACAAATACTCCCAGCCCCACAAATTTGTCCATGTTTCCAAACACAGGCCCTAGAGAGAGAGAACAGATGATGAACAATGAAATAAAGCTAAGAGTTGATAAAGGAATAACATATCACTATGATGGAGGAAAAAGTAAAATTCAAAAGACTCCCAAGCCTCTCTCAAGATGAGAAAACACATGTACAAGTACCCAGCAAAGCACATGGCCTGTAACAATGCCCAGTAAATATCTGTAATTGTTTGTTGTTGGAGGCGAGGGAAAGAGAGAAGGCCACTGCAACCTTATTTAGCACTCAGGCAGCTTCCTCATCCAAACTGGTTGCTAGGGTGCCCCTACAGAATTCTGCTTTACAAACACTTGGTAAAGACTATGCCCCCAAGAGAGAACTGAATTCCCTAGTTGTACTTCTTGTTGCAAAAGAGATCAGGTCAAATCAGGTTGAGCCTGCCATCTACGTGGAGCAATAATAGCTCCTACACAAGGAAAACAGATAACTCTTCTCTTGACTCAGCAGTGCTGAGATCATTCACTGTGAATGCTCAGAAGAAATCAGCTCACCCAATCGTCAGTGTTCAGGAGAGCCAGTGCTTTCATCCAGCCAACAGGCCAGGTAGTTTCACAAGGAAACTCAGAAAGAAGTAACAAGCAAGCAACTGCCTCAGGATGAGCCAAATTCAGCTGCTTATGAGGACTCAGATCCCATTCTAGAGACTAGAGAGGCCAGTGTTCATCCACATACATTAAAGGAGAGGGAAAACAGCTGGCACTGTGGGGAAGGAAACTTTTCAAAAAGAGGGCACATGAAAAAGCAGGTTGTCACACCCACACAAGAGTAACACAGGGTCCCAATACCTGGCTGCATCCGATCCTTTGTGTACCAGATTGCCAAGCCGTCCCCATGCAGATTCTTCTTTCCTTGTCCATGGATTTTGAAGTGCACCTGCAATTCCCAGTCTCTCAGGAAACACGGCTAAAGTAAAAAAGACATTAGAATCAACAAGGAGCATGAAATGCAAAACCCCTCAAGCCCGCATCAGCAATCAGCAGACTCGGAAAACACACAGATGCAGGTAACACGAGGCTAAGGGTTAAAACCTAAATCTAAGACTTGCTAGTGTTCACGTCATAAAATTAAACGGATTCAACCACTCAACTGTTTAGAGATTTAATATGAAAATGAATAAACCCCCCAATTATCTTCAACATTTCCCAACAGAAACCGGACAGAACTCCAAAGCTGGGAAAGATAAGAGTACACCAAACTCCACTCCTGTGAACCCACATCCCCCAGCAAAGCAGCTCGGCTTTTAGAGTACAGATGGCTGAATCCATCCTCATTTACAACTCAAGATCACCCCTCAGACAGAAAGACTCTGAAAAGCTGGATTTAAAGAAAGGTCAAAGCCTAATTTATTATAGTAGAAAAAGAAAAGCTAAGCTATTATGCAAAGGTTTCCAGGAATAATTAGCAGATACTACAAGCAACTCTAATTAGCTAGACCTGGCCCTCTGCCAAGCTGAGGGGTAAACCAGAATTCTCACAAGAAGAGCAAGTTACAGTTCCCCAAATCCTCCCATCCATGGCCAAGAAGCTTAAATGCACCTGGAGAAGGATGCGAGTGGATGGTTAAGTGTTTTAAACAGTTGAACAGTTTCAAGAAAAAAAATGAGAGTGGGTAGTTGATTTAGGGAAGCTTCTGGTTAAAAGTCTACTGTGAAGAAAGAAGTGAAGGAAGAACAGACAGACCAGCTGGGTTCAGCCAAAGGCTCTCCAAATAGACTGTTCTGGGCAACATATTGCTAGATCATTTTCAGTTTTCATTTTTTATTTCTGGGATATTTTCCAAAAGTATTCATATTAGAAGTACATAGTCAAAATGAAAGGAGGTTGGGTACTCCTGCATTTAGCAAGGGGCCCTGAAATCTCCAATAGGTTATCCTACTCTAATGAGCCAGTCTCTGTCTTGTCACTCTGGATTCTTAGCTCTCTGCTGTTTCATTAAGATTTCAGACGGCCGGGTGCAGTGGCTCACGCCTGTAATCCCAGCACTTTGGGAGGCCGAGGCGGGCGCAGATCACGGAGGTTAGGAGATCGAGACTATCCTGGCTAACACGGTGAAACCCCGTCTCTACTGAAAATACAAAAAAAAATTAGGCAGCCGTGGTGGTGGGCACCTGTAGTCCCAGCTACTCAGGAGGCTGAGGCAGGAGATTGGCGTGAACCCAGGAGGTGGAGCTTGCAGTGAGCCGAGATGGCGCCACTGTACTCCAGCCTGGGTGACAGAGTGAGACTCCGTCTCAAAAAAAAAAAAAAAAAAAAAGATTTCAGAGAAAGGGCCCAGCACAGTGGCTGACGCCTTTAATCCCAGCACTTTGGGAGGCCAAGGCGGGCAGATCACAAGGTCAGGAGATCAAAATCATCCTGGCTAACATGGTGAAACCCCGTCTCTACTAAAAAATACAAAAAATTAGCTGGGTGTGGTGGCGGGCGCCTGTAGTCCCACCTACTTGGGAGGCTGAGGTAGGAGAATGGTGTGAACCCAGGAGGTGAAGCTTGCAGTGAGCCAAGATCGCGCCACTACACTCCAGCCTGGGCAACACAGGGAGACTCCATCTCAAAAAAAAAAGAAAAGATTTCAGAGAAAGGCCAGGCACAGTAGCTCACGCCAGTAATCCAAGCATTTTGAGAGGCTACGGTGGGAGGATAACTTGAGCCCAGGAAGTCCAGACTGCAGTGAGCTGTGACAGCGCCACTGCACTCCAGCCTAGCTGACAAGAGTGATGAGACCCTGTCTCAAAAAAAAAAAAAATCTTTCAGAGAAAGAGTGAAATTCAGTGGGGCAGGAAGCTGCCAGGAGGTAGGTATTATGCCCCTGGGAACAGGGCAGTGTCACAGAAGTTCTCAGTGAGCCAAGAGGTGTCTGTCACTGATTCTTGGCCTCCTACAGCACAATGCTATACTGTTTTGCCCAGGACCATATATAATTGTGTTTCTGAAATTCTGCCACACAGTGGATTCACCTAGGCAGTTTTAAAAAATCCCAATGGCCAAGCTGCACCCTATTCCAATTAGATCAGAATCTCTGGGGGTGACACCCAGGCATCAATTCCAATGGATAGCCAAATTTGAGAACCACTGCTCAAACAAATGGATCCCATTCAAATAACTCAGAAATAAGCCCACAGTCATGGTGATAGCCAGATAACAGCAAATACAGGTATCAGAAATCTGAAAAAGGGAAGAACTAGAGGCTATACTAGAACTGAGGCTACAAGTTATGTAGAGACAAGAGAGCCAGCAAGACAGCAGCGGAGTATCAAGCCTTGAACATAATCATCCGGTAACCCACAAGAGCCCCACCAACAAACTTATACAAGTGTAGTGACGTAACACATATTTCTGTAACCATTTTAACTTGCCACAGTCTTTTCATGTCTATCGTCTTATTTTATTCTCACAACAAGCCCAGTGGGCAAGTAAAACAGGTATTCTAAAGCTCATTTATCAGATGGAGAAACAGAAAACTAAGAGGTTAAATAATCTGCCGAGGGCTCACAGGAGGACTGTAACAGAGCTGGACCAAGAACCCCAGTCTTTCAACTGTCCTTTATCTCTCCTACCAAAACACAATGCTCTGTACTCTGTCCAAAAATGAGCTCAGCATTATGATCTAGGTTAAGGGGCCAGTTTGTGCAGATAGCTAATGTAGAAATTTCTCTTGCCCTCCTGAACAAGGAAAAGAAATCGTTCTCTTTTCTGAGATTCACTTATCTACAACCAATGAGAAAAGCCATGTCAAAGTAGGTTCTTAGTTTATGAGAGCTCCAGAGAAAGTATCAAAGGATGCCAGTCATGCCCAAAAGTAAACTGGTCATAAAAGATTTAGAAAGAGCCCTGGAAACAGAAAAGAAAGCATCATCTTACACTTGTACAAAATCACAGTGCAGCCACACCAGGAATACTGCATTCACTTCTTGTCGCCATACCTCAAGGAAGACAATGCAGCTAGAAAAGGTCCAGAGAAGTACAAATAAAATGACCAATAGCTCAGAGTGGCTTTCACATGAAAATAAAATTTTGTATCAGACTCTTCAAATTGAGATAACAAGGTGGGGAGGCTGGGATAAGGTCTGGGATCAATTTAAGAGAGTACTCTCAACGAGGCCTGGTGGCTCACACCTGTAATCCCAGACCTTTGGGAGGCCAAGGCAGGAGGATTGTTTGAGACCAAGAATTTGAGACCAGCCTGGGCAACACAGCAAGATCCCATCTCTACAAAAAATATTTTTAAGATGAGCCAGGTGCAGTGGCACATGCCTGTAGTCTCAGCTACTCAGGAGGCTGAGGGAGGAGGATCCCTTAAACCCAGGAGTTTGAGGCTGTAGTGAGCTATGACTGTGCCACTGCACTCTGGTCTTCTTACAATCTTCTTACAAAGTGGTTAAGCAGGAGTTAAGTTATTATTAAACCCTAAGGAGTAGTACTATTAGGCCAATCAGGAATTAAAGACATTTCGGGGGAAAAAAAATGAATTATTTGCTATAATTAAATAGCATTTTCCTAAATACCTGATTTATTTATTATGAAGGTCAGAATAATCTCAAAAATAAAGATCCTTGATATCCACAGAAGACAGAATACCAGGGGGATAGACAGTAAAATTAAATCAGTATGCCACTGCTGAACCTTTTAGGTCTTTCTGGGTCACCAACACAGGAGGGAGAAAGATTCTTACCACCCGGTTCCACAAGGCACCCTGTTTACTTTGCATATCTGGGGTAAGGCGGATATACTGGGTCATCACCATGGCATTGCCCATCAGATTCCACAGTGAGGAACTGCCTGTGCCCACACCTACAGGAAGGAAGTAGATCAGTTCATACTCTTCAACACCAATCCATTCAGAAAGCAGCCACCACAGAGCCTCTGAAAGCTGAGCCATCATCTTTTTCCCCCTTTAATGTCACTCAATCTCCTATCTTGTCACTCATGAATCTTAAATCCTTACCATCTCTACAACTTTCACAAGGCCTTTATCAGGTGAGGACCCCAAAGTACATCAGAACTATCACTTTATGCATGCTACAGTAACCATAGCTCACATCCATTCTTCCCGTTGTAATATGTGAATAAACTTCAGGATCGTAAAAGAAAAAAATTTTCCTGAGTTACATCAAAAAGAGTTTGACAGGTCAGGCGCAGTGGCTCACCCCTGTAATCCCCACTCTTTAAGACGCTGAGGAGGGAGGGCATCTTGAGGTCAGCAATTTGAGACCAGTCTAGGCAACATAGAAAGACCCTGTCTTTACCAAAAAAATAAAAATTAGCCAGGTGTGGTTGTCCTTGTCTATAGTCCTAGCTACTCAGGAGGCTGAGGTGGCAGGATCGCTTGAGCCCAGGAGGCTGAAACTGCATGAGCCATGATTGTGCCACTGCACTCCAGCCTAGGCAACGGAACAAGACCCTGTCTCTAAAACATAAATAAAAACAAAAAGAGTTTGACCCTCACGTCTCTGGCGCTTAGTCACATTCTTTCTTTTCTTTTCTTTTCTTTTTTTTGAGATGGAGTCTCGCTCTGTTGCCCAGGCTGAAGTGCAGTGGCGCATCTCAGCTCACTGCAAGCTCCACCTCCCAGGTTCACGCCATTCTCCTGCCTCAGCCTCCCCAGCAGCTGGGACTACAGGCGCCCGCCACCACACCCGGCTAATTTTTTTGTATTTTTAGTAGAGACGGGATTTCACCGTGTTAGCCTCAATCTCCTGACCTCGTGATCCGCCCGTCTCGGCCTCCCCAAGTGCTGGGATTACAGGCGGGAGCCACCGCACCCGGCTGTCACATTCTTTCTTTAAACAACCCTTAAAGTGTGAAGCTACTTCCTGTACCCTCAACTATAAACTTCTTTAAGAGTGAAAACTTCGTGTCTGCAAACTCATGAATATTATTAGCAAAGAGATCAGCACAGAGGCACTCCAGGCATGTAAGGGAATAAATGATTACCCTTAGTAGTAGCGTATACTCTTGCACTTTGAACTGTTTTGTGTCCCACTACTTATGCCTTAGTGGGGAAAGACTTGTGTTAGTTAAGCCATCTGCACTGGTTTGTCAACGTTTTGTAGCTAACTGTATCAATTTTCTGGCCGATAAGCTGTGCTTAGAGCTGTGTAAACCCTAACCTCTTTCATCAATAGGGCCCCTAGGCTGCAGAAGAGAAGGTGATTTTACCCAGCAGCATAATTTTATCATCTTTCTTTTCATTCCGTTCATGTTCTACCCCAGTTCTTTCTCCTGCTTTATTCCTAGCATATCCACAGGTCCATCTGGAGACCGGCTCATTGCTAGTAGCCCTCAATTACCCCTCACCATTCCCAATTCTCTCCCCTTCCCAAACTCCTCCTGTCTAACTCCAGGCCTAGCACTAGTGGCACCCGACAGCCCTGCCTTTACCTACTGGAAACTTCCAGAGCTTGGCAGGCACACCTAACTCCTGACTTTCAGACCTGTGGCTCCCACACGCGGAGGGAGTCCCCGTGGGCCCCACCACCGCCAGCAGTTTCCTCCAGGCCACGAAGCCCTTCGCCGCCCCCGCCTCTACCCCTGAAATCAAGTCCCGAAGCCCGCCCCACTGTACGACCACCTCACCCTGGGCACCTCACCCTGGTAGGGCTTCGACAGCGAGTGCTCCCGTTTCAAGTACTCGAACGTCTGACCCGCCCCGACTTGCTGTGGCCCCTGCCCAGACCCCAACAAAAGAAGAAGGAGTAACATCCTGGACCCATCCCGAGCCGACAAACATCGCCGCCACTTCTGCCACCACCCAAGGGGTCCCAGAGTCGCCGCCATCTTTCCCACCGCCGACCCTTCATCAAAAGCCCGCCCTGTCGCCCAGCCCATTGGCCCGAAGAACCACCGTCCCCGCGTTCTATTGGCTCTCGTCAAGCCCCGCCCCTGCAGGTGAGCATATCACCGATTGGCTGGCTTGGGTATCAGTTGCCTTGCCAACCCAGAAAAGGGGCGTAGCCGAATGACCAGACTCCCTTATTTGCATTTGCCCTGAGTTCCGCTAGGCTTGCTGGGATACGTAGTTTATTTCTACTTTGTTTTCTGCGTACGAGAGTAAATTTAAAGAGATAAAACGTTTCTTCTGGTCCCAAACATTCTATCCTCTCTGCAATAGTACGGTCCTGACTGCAGCTCTCTGAATCAGTTTGGAAGATATAGCAGTGAAAGGAGAAATAGACAAATCCATAAAATAACTGGAAAATTATCAATTTATAAAAGACTTGAACAGTACTGCCAACTAACTTGACCTGATGATATTTATAGAAACTCCATCTAACAACTGCGGAAGACACATTCTCTTCAAATGCAAATGACTCCTTTGCCGTGATAGTCTGGGCCATCAAGCAACCTACAGATATAGAAGAATTGAAAGCACACAAATTAATTAATTCTAAAAGCCATCACCTCCTTCCCTCTTTTTCTTTCCTTTTTTGTTTGAAACGAGGTCTTGGCCGGGCGCTGTGCACTTTGGGAGTCCGAGGCGGGCGGATCAACTGAGGTTGGAAGCTCGAGACCAGCCTGACCAACATGGAGAAACCCCATCTCTATTAAAAATACCAAAAAAAAAAAAAAATTGCCAGGCGTGGTGGCACCTGTAATCCCAGCTACCGGGAGGCTGAGGCAGGAGAATCGCTTGAACCCAGGAGGCAGAGGTTGCCGTGAGCAAAGACTAAGCCACTGCACTCCAGCCTGAGCCACAAAAGCAAAACTCCGTCTCAAAAAAAAGAGAGAGAGACAGAGAGACAAGATCTTGCTCTGTTGCCCACGCTGGAGTGCAGTGGCACAGTCTCAGCTCCAGCCTCTACCTCCCTGGCTCAAGTGATCCTGCCACCTTAGCCTCCTGAGTAACTGGGACTACAGGCACATCCCTTCATCTTTATCCGGCACCACAACAACATGTGTCCAGACTGGTCTCCACGTAGCCACTAAAGTGATCAAAACCATCTAACCATGGTGAGGGTCAGGGTTAAATGAGTCAATATTGGTAAACCTCTTAGAACAATGCCTTGCATGTAGTAAGCACTATTTCTTTCTTTTTTCTTTTCTTTTTTTTTGGTTTTTGTGTTTGAAACAGGGTCTCTCTCTGTCGTCCAGGCTGGAGTGCAGTGGCATGGCCACAGCCTCAACCTCCTGGACTCAAGGGATCTTCCCACTTCAGCCTCTCAAGTAGCTGGGACGACAGGTATGTGTCACCACGCCTGGCTAATTTTTAATTTTTTGTAGCAATGGGGTGTGTGTGTGGGGGGGGAGTCTCACTAAGTTGCCCAGATTTGTCTCAAACTTCTGGACTTCAGGGATCGCCCTCCTCAGCCTCCTAAAGTGCTGGGATTAGAGGTATAAACCACCACACCAAGCCATAAGCACCATTTCATCATCATCATTCTTATTAACCGGGCCTTTGATGGCTCACTGTCACCTGTGGGGAGGAGATTCAAGCTCCTCGACTTGGCACACAAAGCCCCTGCCATCTGGCCCTGGCCTTATTGCCCATGACTCTTTTCCTCCATCTTTATGCTCCAGCTTCCCTTCCCTCTTTTTTTCTGCAGTCCACTTCCTTCTGGAGGTCCTTCCCGAACCCCTCAGGCAGGGTAGATTCCCGTGTCTGAGCTCTCAAAGTGCTCCATGCACATGCAATGACAGATCTGTATTTATATCTTCCCAATAGACTTAACCAAAGTTAACACTCGCTTGCTTTCCTGAGCATGAATATATTTAATAAGATAAACATAATTATGAGCCTGCTTTACAGGGGATCAACTTTTTAAAATTAAAGCTGTCACAGCTATTTTCTTTTTTACTTGGCCGGGCATGGTGGCTCATGCCTGTAATCCCAGCACTTTGGGAGGCAGGCGGATTATCTGAGGTCAGGAGTTCAAGACCATCCTGGCCAACGTGGTGAAACCCCATCTCTACTGAAAATACAAACAATTTTTTTTTTTTTTTTTTTTCTTTTTTGGAGACCGAGTCTCCCCGCTGCTGTCAC